GTGGTTTGGGTACGAGCCCTAGTCTACACTGTCAAAGACTCAAGCCTTAACGGTGGGGGTGCGGGGCGGCGCAGGGGGTTCGGATCACAGGGCAAGGGCGGGTGGCTACTGACAGCAGAGGCCGGCGCTGGATGGGTTGAGCAAAAGGCCCCGGCGCCTGGGTCGACCCCGGCCGGAGAGAAGGGAGGAGAGATGGAGAGGGATTTTAGGTTGGGAGGTGGGGGGGGGGGGCTCTGCGCCGAGTGGCATTACCCAGCGGGGCCGGCAGCCGCGCCCGCGCTCAGCTGATGGCATTGATTTTTCACAAAAGGGGTGGAAGGAAAGGGGTGGACCGAGCGCGGTTACATATAGGTAGGTGCAGCACAGGGTCCTGCCGTCAGCATAGAGAGATGAAGGGCTAGGTTGTTTAAGGGCTCTTAGTTAGTTCTATGCCTTATGTGAGCTAGTATAGACTTAGGTAGATAAGTTAGGTGAACCCTACCGGCTCTGAATAATTGGAAGAGTACAAGTGCAAGGACTTTAGATGATTTAATAATGGAAACAAGGGTGGTTCAGAGTTACACAATAAAGACGTTACACTTAGCTCTCTCTTACCCTCTCGTGATGTGCTGGTATCTGCCCCATCCAGTGGCCGTGCTGCCACCACGGCTTACCGAGCCGCATCTAACTCGAGCGCACCCGCGCTCGCGTTTTTAAGGGGCGTACACGCGGCGCGGGCCGAGCGAGCCAGAGGCGCGCTCCAGATTTGTGTTTGTTGACGGATTCGCCCGCGCGGTTGTATAGTCACACTTTTACAAGTGTCACAATCCAACACTGCTGACGGTGAGCTGCGATGCATGCCTGTCGCCTTTCGTCGGCGAGACAGCTACATACTTTTTGAAAATATAACGAACATCTTAGAAATAACACCCCCCCCTCCCGCCCATTCCTCCTCCCAAACACCCCCAAAAATCAAGTGTTTTACTTCATACTCTAGTAATGAGAATTGTCTCGACGTGTTTGGTTTGTAATGAAAACGGGAAGACGGGGCGACACCTGCCGACTAAAGCCGATAAATGGATTTCCATCCCCTTCGTGTGTGTGTGTGTGTGGGGGGGGGGGGGTCGTGAATATATAGATACATACAGACGTGCAGAGGACGAATGGGGATCGCCTTTCTCTAAACGTGTGAGTGGTATGTGTATGGTGTGAGTAGGTGAGGGGTGGAAGCAACGGGAGCCCACGCGCGGGCGCGCGCGTGTGTGTGTATAGGCTCGCTCGTGACCTTCGCCTTCCAGCCCCTGTACTGTACAGTATACTCTAGAGGCAGTTGGGGATACCCATGGCCCTCCTGTGGCGCCCACCGGGCTCTTTAGAGTTGCGCGCGGTAGCAGAGTATAGAGCAGCCCACTCTGCGCTCAGGTTACGAGGGGGCACTCTTGCCCCGACTTTGGCCCGCTATGCTTCCCTCACTACCCCCGCCTCCGCCCGCCCCGTCATGAAGGGGTTGAGACAGAGCACATGCTCTTGGTGGCGGAGCAGCAGCAGCAGCAGCAGCAGCAGCAGCAGCAGCAGCAGCAGCAGCAGCAGCAGCAGCAACAGCAGCAGCAGCAGCGCGCTGGGCCCGAGGAACGCCGAGCTGCTCTGCCGCACATCTCGCTCTGGGGTGGGATGGGCTGCCTATTCTCCCGGCGGCGCCTGCCCGGGCCACCCCGCCGCGCCGTGTGCCCTACTTGCGCCGCTAACCTTGCCGCGGGAAGATTGAAGCGAGCGGGGGCAGCTAGGGAGGGCGGGAAGGGAAGGGAAAAAGAAACTTGAAGTAAGAGGCAAGTTAGTTGAAGATTGCGTCCTTGTCGAGCGGGATTGGGGTGGTTGGTGGCGGCGCGAAGTGTAGGTGCGCTGCCGAGCAGCAGGACATGCCCCGTGTGCCGCAGCACCACGCAGCACTCGGACAGGGAACGCCGTCTCCATTGTTCAAAAGTGGCCTGGCGTTAATGAGATTAGTTGCAGACTCTGCTCTGGCTCTTGTGGCCGAGGCCGGCGGGCCAAAGTCTGTGACGGAGAGGCCGGCCAAGGGCGCCCTCTCACTCTCTCATGACGCCACGGGGTCTCCGACCGCGCGAGCGCGCGCGCCCTGCCGGCCAGTCCGAGGCCCCCGGTGGGGAACCCCAGCACCGGTCAATACGTTGATACGCTCGGCCTCTTGGTCTAGGGGTATGATTCTCGCTTTGGGTGCGAGAGGTCCCGGGTTCAAATCCCGGAGGGGCCCTTCTTTTGTTTTCTTGTCTTTTGCCGCCGCGGGTCACGCCTGCCTCTTTTGATTTTTTGCTGGGGCTCGGGCTTGCATGGGCCGGTCACGACTGGCCACCCTCCAAGCGCCTTCCCGCCGCCCCCGCCGCCTCCGCACGTGCCAGGATGCCGCCGCTCCCACGCCCCGCGGCTGCACCCGCTGCGCGCCGGCGCAAGTCAACGTCGAAGTACAGTACAGCGACACGCGCGCGCGCGCGCGGGGGACCAAAACTTTCAACCCCTCTGCCATTTGACGGCTCTATGGCAGTTTAGAGACGGTCTCGCTATGTAGTGTACTCGTGCTTGTCGCTGGGGCTTTCTTACACTATTCGGAACGCGCTTTGCATCTCCTGCACCCACCACGCCATGCGCCCACGCCGAGGGGTTCCCCACTTCCAAAATAGGTGGACAACGAGTCGCCGAGTCAGCGAGTTGCCGCGAGTAGGGTGCGAGTTGGGATCAATTTTTCGAGGGTTTTGCGCGATTTTGGCGCGAGTTTTCGAGTGGGGGACCCCTCACCCCACGCGCCCACGTGCCCGCCCCGGGCCACTCCGGCCGGTAATAAAGCCTCGCCGTCTCGCGCCTAATCTTCGACCATATAATGACCGTCGGCATGGCCGTGCCGTGAGTCAGTCGGACGGCAGTCCGGCACTATTACGCCCCTCGCCCCGAACACAGGTGGGCACAGCCCTCGCCACGAGCGCGAAAGGTGGATGTGGTGGATGCCGTGGATGCGGGCGTCGAAGGAGCGTCGCATACAAAGCGTTGCGCAGCAGGTTGTGTGCGCGGAATCCCATAAAAGGGTTCCGCATGAGGCAGGCGAGAGTGGGTTGTATAGGGGGTGGATAGCGTGGGCAGTACGCGTGGGAGTTGGCGGGAGCTAAAGGGTGGTATGTGACACCCCTTCCGGGCTCGCGACCGGGGCAAATGACTCACGGGGCTGGCGTGTCGGCAGCGGCAGTGCAACACTCGGAGCGACGTCCTCTGAAACCCCTTTGTAATATTTCTCAGCGCTCCGAGTGTTCTGAGAAGCTTGCGGGTACTGCCAGCAGAGTATTAAACCTCCCCGCGCGCGCTGCTGCACACGCCGCGCCGGTGTAAAGTCGCGCGGCTTCCGCGGGGATTTGAATCCCGGCCAATGCACACAGAGCGCGGCGCGCGCACACGGGGCGAGCAAGTGTGTACGTACAGCAATGTTTAACACCGCCTTCCGGCCAGCTCCGCGAACTCCAAGCTCCGAGCTCCGAGCCCGGCCCGCCCGCAAGAGAAAGGGAGAGTCGCGGCGAGAGAGGAGAGATGGGGCGGTCGGGCTGCTGTTGATTTGTTTGCACGACCTGATTCCCGCGACGCTCAACGCCGGCCGCAGCGCCACCCTTTGAACTTTGGGCAGCCGGAGTGGTTCGGGGGGGGGGAGCTAGCGCCACGCCCCGCGGTTTTCCTTGTTCGCGCAACGCGGGGCGGCATCGACCGACGGGTCGACCACTCAGAGTTTCAGTGAACATGTATAATATCTAGAATAGTTTTGGAATATCTAGAATATTTTTGGATTATGCTGGAGTATTCTTGGAATATCTAGATTTTTTAGGTGGAATATCTGAAACACTTTTGGAACGGTTTTCTGTGGTCCACCCTTCGCACTCGACGAAAATGACGTGGACTGGCGCGCCTCGGACAAAACATCATTCCGCGGCACGCGCACGCACCACGCTATGCCTCGGGGTGGACCCGGCCCGCAGCGCCTGGCGCCGCCGGCGCAGCGGCCGAAAACGGACCCGGGGGCCATGTCAATCGCACCTTACGGGCATGGGGGCGGGCTGCTGCATCCGTCTCTTTCGGCCTCTCTCTCTCTCTCTTTCTCTCCTCTCTCTCCTCTTGCCCCGCTGGCGCCACTTGCCACGCGCCGCGCGGACGCAGCCCCGGGTCGGCGCGCAACTGTAAATGAATAACAGTGCCGTGCTACAACAGGTTGGCGCCCACCGCGTGGCGCCGCCGGCCGCGCGCCCGCCATGTCCTGCAGGACGAGACGACACTGTCAAAATTTCAAACCAACACACTGTAAAAGTTTGCCAGCTAAGTTTTTCCATGATTTGAAAACCTTTTTGCCATTTTGAGACAATTTCCCTCGTTTCAACATCAAAATATTCACTATAGCTCATTTCTGCCTTGGATTCGAAATTTTTGTCTTTTCTTCGAATGACTACATTTTTTCGTCGCTTGCTCTAAACGACGTCGAGTCCCCTTTTCCTGCATATTATAATATCGTCGATCGGTTTTCGTCGTCAGTCGCGCGCGCGAGTGGTGCAGGTGCAGGGGCCGCCCTACGCCCTAGGCGGGCCCCGCGCGGGAGCGCCCCACGCCCGGCGGCGGCGCCCCCCTGCTCAAGACGCCGGCGGCGTGGTGGGGCGCGGGGGCCCGGCAGCCGGCGTGCTTGGCGTACCCGCTGCCGGCCGCGCCGCCGCCCGCCGCCAGTCAGTACCGCGTGCGCACCGGTCCCCGCTGTTCGGCCCCCCGTGCTCGGCCCCCGCTCGGCCTACCGCCCCTGCCGCTCGCTTGCTCGGCCCCCGGCCCGATACGCGCTGCGCGAGGCAGTCGAACTGACGAGTCGAGCCGGCCGAGTCGAGCCGAGACTGCTCTGCTGAGCCGAGCCGAGCCGGCACCGCCGACGACCGACCACGACCCGCCCCGGACGGACGGACAACACGGTTTGCCGTCAGTGTCAGTGTTGATCCGGCAGCCTTCGCGTCCAGGCGCCGCAGCCGCATGAAGTTGTGTGTTTTTAAAATTTTAATTTTTCGTTGACGACGACCCTCAGTGATCCGCGTCCGCGCAGTGATCGGAACCCCCAAAGAAGTGCGTGGGGTCGGACTGTTTGTTGCCACAACTTCAAGACTGACGTGTTTACCGCCGCGAGGCTCCTTGCGGGACTTCCCCCCGCGTCCTGTCAGTTACACAAAGTGAGTACTAGACTTGTTTTTGGTCGTGGACAGGTGTGCGATGTTGTCCCTCTTCTTGCACCCTCCCGGGGCACAGGTGGAGAGAGCGGGCTGGGCCGGTCAGCTGTTGCCGGCCGCGTTCGAAGAGTGGGTGTGCATTGCCGGCCGACTCCGCGGGTCCGCCGCGACGGCAGGACAGGAAGAAGGGGTTCAAAGTCGAACGGCCAGACGACGACATGGCTGCATGTCAGCCGGTGTACTACGTGCAGTGGGCGGCGAGGCCCCATAGGTAGCTATAAAGAAAGCTCGATGAAGAAAACCCTCAACGTTGGGCTGGAAAGTACAGCTAGGAACGTAAATTTTCACTATGCACCTTGAGGTTTGCAACGAAAATTTTTCATTTCGCTTGCGCGAAACGATAAGTGCGCTCTTTACTCTCGGTGGGCCTCGTAATCGTTGCCCATGGCAAGCTAGCCGCTCAAAATGTGGTCATTAGTAGTGATGAGGGGAGGTTTCCATGAACTCTCTCCGACTTTTCTCTGATATACCGCAAAAGCTTTTTTTCGTGCGCAACCCCACAAAGAAAATCTCGACTGAAGCACTCCAAAACTCCCGTCAGAAAAGACTGGGCGGCCCGACGCCGGACCTCGCGCACGCTCTTTGTCCTGCCGCTTGTGCTGTGTCTGTATTGGGCAAATTGAGTTCTCTCTTGGTTTGCTGTTTTTGGGAGGGAAGGGGGCGGGGGAGGCCGGCGCTCAACGCTCCCCAGTGCCCCCTCCCCCTTCCTTTCCCCTTATCCTTGTCCCGCCCACTCGGACAGAATCGGCATTGGTGAAATTGGCAACGGCGATATTGAGGTATTGCAAAAACCGAAAACAACCCGGCAGCTGCTGATGGTTATTCTGCCGCTAGTTCTGTCGGGCCTGGCCGGGCCCCGCGCCTGCCACCATCTGCCAGCAGTGTCACCAGTAGCCGGTGATAAGCCGCGCTCGTATCTCACTTCTCATTGGCGGCACACATATACGCACGCCGCGGGGCGGTAGTCGCCTAGTGAGCAGTGCCGGCGGTGTAAGTCACGTCGTTTCCATGTTTTCGCCTTTTCTCCAAAAGACGTTTCGATGTCATTTGGATATTATGGACACGGTCGTATCGTGCGCGAAGTGGCCCCCATCCCATTTAAGAGTTGTCTCTTTATTTATTTGTTATCATCCTAAACCCACGTAGTGTGCTAAATTCAGCGGAAAATCTAGTGGAAAAGGGTGACGCGGTCCTCGACGCAATCCTTCGTTGAGATTGCACTTGCGATGGGCCGGGGGGCGCGGCTGCGGGCGCGCGTCGCGAGGCTTTGGGCGCTCCTCGCGGCCGCCCAGGCCACAGGCTTAGGCCGCCATGCAGTGCATTTACATGGCCTTATCAGGCCGCGACAGGGCAGCGGGTCGGGCCACCACATGACTTGTCAGAGACCATCGACACTGCTGCTAATAACTTATTTTATCCATCACATGCATCGAACTCGTCGAGCGATTGCGTTGTTAGCCTACCCCTTTCCCCGCTTGTCATGTCGCCTGCTATACTTGACAAAGCGGATAAGACTCCTACAACGGTCATCACTAAACCGCACAGCAGGTTAGGGTAGGGACGTCCATTTCTGCGGACAAACTGTCGCGCGGCGCGTCCACGCTTTTGCTGACGATGGCCATCTCTGTACAACTCGATGCTGATCAATCGAGACGCGCTGACAGCAGCGCCGATGATGACCCCCGCGATACTTGTGTACTTGCGACAGAGCGGCAGGCGACTTGTCGCACGTAAGGCGATGCGATATATTTATTGTCGTGTTGGTCTGCTTGCATGCCTCGGCGATTACACCCTCACCGCCCCCCGTCCTTGGTAACTTTATTATCATCGGTTTTGATGGTAATTTTTGTATTTCGGTCGTCGGCAACACACTCGTATGGTAACTGGGGATAACAACAACAACAATGCAGTAACGCAGTCGAGCTCGGGACTCAGGTCACATTCCTAATGTGCTTTTAGGGGGCTGGGACGAGGAGTAAGGATTTTAATTTTTCGAAAAAGTATTTTTCAAGATTTTTATTTTCTGAATTGTAAAACTTTTTCCCTTTTTTTTTGAAAAACATTTTTACAATTTTCCCCATTTTATTCTGAAAATTTTTGGACCTCAAAACCCTCCTAGCGGGGAGTGAGCGGTGAGCGGGCGGGAGCGAGGATGCTGCCGGGGCTCCCCTCGCGTCGCCGTTTACCGCAAAAGTCTCGCGTTGAATGATAAATGCAGCCCGGGACGCCGCCGGGCAGCGGGCGGGTGGTGTGCGGCTACCGCGCGCGCCTTGACCCAGTGCGCGCCGCGCCACGCCGCCCGCCGCCGCGCCACGAGGCGCCAAGGTCCAGAGCACGTCTCCCGACGTACTCCTCTACATCCGCGGGGGGGCCCTTGGGGACGGTCCCCGCCTCTCCTCCCTCCCTCACTCCCGACAGCATCCTGAATAGTGGTCCTGGGAGAACACGCCCGGCGCCCGGAGACTATGCGGATAGTGGATAGTGAGATGGCATCCGAGGACGACGGGGTCTCGCACCCACGGCTCGGGCCGTGCTCGTGTCCTCTGCTTGTAGTCCGACGCCTATCGGACTACCGCCGCCTATCCCTTGCCTTTGCCTTTTGTTCCTCCTCTCCGTGATGGACCAGCGCCCTTCCGAACTTCCCGCTGCTGCTGCTGCTGCTGTCCGATTCCTTTCGACCCGAAACAACTCCTCTCGCCACCGAACTTTTTAATCACATGTTGGCCACTCCTCTTTCCTCTTTTTGTCGCGACCCGGCCGGAGCGGCACACGTGATCCGGTGAGGACCCTGCTGCCACTGCCAGCCTGTCGGACCGGAATCCAGACGGGTAATATAGCCTTTTCCGACGCCCCGTTGTCGATGGAAACTCGCTGAACACTCAGGAAATATTGTGCGGTGGGACATATGACGCCCCCCCCCCTCCTATTTTTCCCCATGTGAGGCGATATTCGATTTTGTATGGCGTGGTTCCGTCTGGAAACGTCGTGAGCGCGTCTCCTCCTGCTCTATTTGTGGGCACATTTTCCTTGTTATCGTCGCCCCCCACTATATATTTGTGCGACGCTGTGTGATACGGCCTGTTTGTATTTGCGCGCGCCTTCCATCACATCAGGACGCCTCCCGCGCGATAAGCTTTGGGCGTCAGCATTTTCCATTTTCGTGGAGATGAGCCTTTTAGGGGGGACGGAAGGAA